TCTTCAGCAATTGAGCCACTGGGACAAATCTCCATTTCCCTTGTAGCTCCAGGCTTTGCAGGTCTAGAGGTTCTTACAGAAAATCAAAAGGGATTGGGCCAATCTAATTTCAGGAGGAAGGATGTTCCATAAGAGAAGACATGTCTCCTGTGACCCACAAGATGTAGGTCACTATTCTATGGTACCCGCAGCATATCTTTTGTGTGAGATCTAATGGGGTAGGCTGATGTAATTGGGGAGAGATGGTCCCTTCGGTAACCCAGGCCCCTGCCATGAAGGGTTTAAAGGTTAAAACCACATCTTCAATTTGGACCCAAAAGCAAACTGGCAACCAATGTAGTACACAGAGCAAAGATCTAACATTTGCTGCCCTGGGAATGCACATAACTGCCCATGACTCTGCACCTGACTAAATTAAGAACAAATTAAGACTCAAAGACGGTCCTGAATTCAAACTATAAATTTTCCAATGTTTTGTCTTTTTCAAAGAACTGTATCCATTTGTTTAGAAAGGTGGATCTTAGGTATGTGAAGGACACCTACCTTCTCCTGCAAATTTCCCATGTATCCAAGGTACAGACGTATAACCTCAATTAAAGATGTTAATATAATACTTGTCACAAGGATGAATTTGTAGTAATCTGGTAAGACTGAGTACTAGAAATGAGAAGAGAATGGAAAATAAATACTGCGCTTGAACGAATTATTTGGATGTATTTAGTTGTCTTTTTGTAAATCATATCTCACTGAGATTTTCTACATATTCTCTACAAACCTACCTACTTCTCAGTCCTTCTGCATCAAACATACCACTCAAAATAAGATCAGTGGAAATCTTTTTTGCATTATTACAGGGGTATGGTAAAAAGCAATAACCAAATACCCTAACAAGAATAACAAATCTCAAAATAGAAGTGTGTCTATTGCCTTCTAGATCTTACCTTCAGCTGCAACATGGCAACACTGCTTGCCCACCAAAAAGGGAAGAACCAGAAGTTAAAATACAGGGACATCTGTAATGGCAAACTGGAGACGATTTCATTATCTGAAGAGACAGAGAGGAAAACAGTCATGAGGAACCTGTGAGGTACAGTATATTCTGCTGGCAGGGTCCCTTATTCTCTTCTGACCTAAATGTGTCTATGTTTGTGCTGATACAGTGGCTTCTAAGGACTGCCATTCCATATGTCATACAGACATATCTTTGAACCTGTGTTAGTCAGCCTTTTGAGTTGAGAGAATCTGGTTTCGCACTGTGCCCCAAATGGTGATGGTTTTCTGTATATAATAATACTTTATTATCAGTGCACAACATATGTACAATGAACTTGGTTGAGCTCCCTCAGTGCACCTCCCCAACACAATACAACTCAAAATTAAGACAAAAAGTCCGTAACCCAATAAATCATATTAACAAACACCCAGTCCTATTGCACCAGTGTGAATATGTTACACATTATGCTGCCCTGCATGTCCATCATACTTATGTTATTTCATATTCAGGAGTCTGACAGCCCACAGATTAAACACTGTTCTTCAGCCTGTTTGTATGCTCGCTATGCTTCTATATCTCCTTCCCAATGGTAGGGAAGAGGTATGATGTACCTCTTCTAGTCTAAATAGTAGATTAGAATAATATGGGCATTATCTTTAGTTCACATCTTGGGCTGCAGTAGAGAGATTATCTGTTTTGGGTGCTGCAGCTGGTCTTTTTGGCAACAGTGTCATATTAACAAAACGAAAGCAGCGTTTGAATAGTTTATATACTTTAAAAGACTGGTTTTGGAGGGTGGTGTCATTTTAAACAAGGAATATCCTTGACTTAAATTTTAAATGGCTCTCCAGAGTCCAGACGCTCCAGGAAGACGCTCCAATCACTCTATCGCGGTCCAGGCTCTACCAGGAAGCCTGGCAGTAGCTTCGCAGCGACCACCGCAATAATAGCGACAGTGCAGACACCGCCATCTTTGTAGCTGGCACAAAGCCGGGGACACTCCCTCACCAATGTGGTTGGCGTCGCCTCTGCTTTCGGGTACCGTGCGGTTGTTGTCCGTAAAAACAGTTCGGCTGAAGGAACTCAGCCGCCTTCTCACCGGCTCCGGCAACGACATGGAGCAAGGAGAACAACGGCCGCTCGAAAGCCGTTGCTAGGGCAACGGGGCCCGACTGAACTTCTTGACGCAGTATCAGTGCAAGCCCCGTCGCCTGGGGGAATTGCCGCGTGGGGATAGCTTCCGGTTCCGATGCTTTGCCCGACACCGGGCAAGAGGCAGGGTCAACCCTCGGCGTTCCATTCGGGGCTGTCTTAGGGGTTTTTTGTTTGTTTCGCAGAGAAAGAAAGAAAGAAAGAAAGAAAGGTTCTGCCTGATATGTTTCATAGGTGAGGCGACTCCCTCCTTGGTTTTGC